CATTTTTGGAAGTTGAAATTAAAAACTTTGTTAATTAAGTGTGTCGTGAATGAAAAAACACCCCAAAAGTATACACATTGTATTAACACTATTAAAGAACAGGTCTTAAGTATTTATGCCACACAAATATTTCCATTACATTAAAGAGACAAATTGAAGAAAATCATTTAATAAACATGAGGGTTATGAGGGGGGTCCCTGAACCCAAAAAGTTTGCGAACCCCTGGTTCAAACAGCTTTATTTGTTAAATTTATTTTTACTTTTTCTGTACCGTTAACTCCAATTTCACAAGTTCTGAGATTTTCTTCTACGAGTTAAAACAGCTCAGATAAGAAAAGCTGACGCTGCATGTTGAGCTCAAATATCCTCAGAGATATTCAGGCCCCTGCAGGCTTTGTAAACTGGGACTAAAAATCTGGATTCAGCTCCGGCTCTCGGTCAGCGGTGCTGATAAGGAAGGTGTCCGCTTTCCGAGGGGCCTCTGTTGTCTAAACAGGGATGTGCTGATCCGACAACAAACACTGAGGAAACGGGAATGGAGGGAAGCACATGGAAAGAAGATCACGTGAAGGAACCCGAAGGACTGATGTGGTGCACGTTTAAGTTTCATTTTATTGCAGCAAAGCTGGATGAGATTTAGACATTTTAAAGAAGTGGCCATAAAACACGATGTTTGACAGCTTGGATGTATAGTTTTGATTGCATGTGAAGCAGGCCGGCTGACTGATTCACACTCCTGTTCTTTCTGCTGACTGATGGAGCGACACTCCAAAAGGTGAGCTGTAGGTGAGGAAGAGGGAGTTGTTGTTTTTGTCTTCCTCCAAGCTGAAGCTCTGAGGCTGAGCTCAGTTCAGGGTGATGACAGCTGCTGACAGTTGTTGGCTCCTCGCCCTCTTTTTCCACGCCAGGTAACAATCCCCCTCCTCCTCCTTGATTTTTTTTTCTGGCTGCCTTCAGCTGAACGTCTCCCACCCTGTCTCCCCCTCTGTCATGCTTCCTCACCCGCTCTCACCGCCCTCAGACAGCGTCAGTCACTACCTCTCCCCTGGCGCCAGATGCAGCCTCTCCGTTTCAATAGCAGCTATTTTCCACTTGTTCTCTCAGGGCCACTTTTACATTGTCACTGTTACTATATAAACAGAGAGCGGCGGTCAGGTTACAGCGAGGCCCGCTCTGCTTCCTCACCTGCTCATCCCAGAGTGAGAAATTTAAAAAAAACAAAGAATGTTTTGCTCACCTAAATCTAGAAGTGAGCAAGTTTCTGGTATGTTCTTATTTTTGCACAGTCTTTGTTTTAAAATGCATCTTAAATGTAAAAATGAATTTGTTAAAAAGCAAAAAACAATGGAAGGCTCGTCTTTAACGTAAAAAATAAATCTTGAAATCTTCTTGTCACCATTGTTGTAGCGTAATTCAAAATTCTTCCGAAACTCATTTATCACATCAGAAGTCAGTTACTGGTTATTCTCAAAGGAGAAGATGGACACAACATGTTCAATTCAATTCAGTTTATTTCTATAGCGCCATTGCACAGTAGAAGTTATCTTAGGGCACTGATCAGAAACATTCATAGCTAAAAGTAAGTTAAAGTAAGTTAATTTATCAGAGGAGCAGACTGCTTTGAGTTTAACTCCATCACAGAACTCTCATCTTGAGCAAGCATGAAGGTGACAGTGGAAAGAAAAAACTCCCTCATGAGGAAGAAACCTTTAGCAGAACCAGGCTCATGGACAAGCGACCATCTGCTTCGACTGGCTGTGTTTGAGAGGACAGGAAGGAGGAACAGATAAACAATGGCAGGTCAAGAATCATATGTTAAGATAGAAATAGTATCAACTTTTCAATTTTAACAATTCATTTAAGGAAATGAGGACAATTTGGCCTCCTGTAGTCTAAGCCTATGGCAGCACAAGCCACTGTAACTATAGGATTGATCAAAAAGGAAAGCCTTAAGCCCAGTCTTAAACTGGACAATGTGTCAGCCTCACGGTCAGAAACTGGAAGTTGGTTCCACAAGAGAGGAGCCTGATAACTGAAAGATCTCCCTCCCATTCTGCTTTTGGAAACTCTAGGAACCACAAGTAAGCCTGCAGTCTGAGAGCAAAGTGCTTTGTTAGGAAAATATGGAACAATAAGATCTCAAATATAAGATGGAGCTAGGTTGTTGAGAGCTTTGTAGGTTAGAAGTAAGATTTTGAATTCAATTCTGGACTTGACAGGGAGCCAATGGAGCGAAGCTAAAACTGGAGAGATATGATCTCTCCCACTAACTCCAGTTAAGACTCTGGCAGCAGCATTTTGGATCAACTGAAGACTTTTTAAAGAATTATTTGGACACCCAGATAATAACATTAGAGCTGGAGGCCAGATTAATGCCATCCAAGGAGGGCGAAAGACTGAAAAATTTATTCCTAACATACTCAGGTCCAAAAATAAAACCTCAGTCTCGTCTGTATCCAAAAGCAGAAAATTAAGGGTCATCCAGGTTTTTATGTCTTTAAGACATGCTTGTAGTCTAAGTAGCTGATTGGATTCATTGGGTTTCATGGACAAATATAACTGTATCATCAGCACAACAATGAAAATTTATCCCATGCTGTTTAATAACTTTACCTAATGGAAGCATAAAGAGTATTAGTCCAAGCATTGAACCCTGAGGAACTCCATGACTAACATGTTCTGTTGTAACTTTAATAATTTGAGATACATTCAGGCATTCAGTATTTTATGGGTAACAGTCTGCTGTTTGTTGTATTTGTTGTTTTTCATTAAACACTAATTTTATTTTGTAAATCAGTCAAAGGTTTAGTGTTCCTTAAAAAAGGCACACTGTCCACACGATATTACAATATCTCTATTAGAGTTCAGAGTTTGTGTTGAGGATTAGTCTCAGCTACTACCACTTCAAATTTTAGCTCAGTATTTGTGACACTGACTGACTTATTGCTATTTGTGTGTTTGTTCATTTTTATTAGCTATAGCAGCCTTCTTAAACGGGGCTAACTCCAAAAGTTTAGCAGTTGTAAATGTACGTCCAGTGATTGCTTTTTAAGAGTTTCAGTAAAATTTGTCCAGTGGTTTGTGAGATATTTTGCTAACAGACAGGCGCACGATTGCATGCCCTTCATTGTGTTGAGCAGTACCGGTAATTAAAGCAACGGTGATTGAAAACCGTCCGGTTTGATGTTTGGCTGTGAAAAACCAGGAACTACATCACATCCCAGATCTAAAAGGGGTTTCAGTGTTTCAAGATGGTCTGAAAATCTCTATTTAACTTGGACAAATTTAAACAGACAGTAATGTTTTTAAAGTTCACCGTGAGACGTAAAATCAACAGAAATTTAGGAGTTCACGCGGACGTGTCATGATGAAATAAATGTCTTCTGATCAGCCCAGATTGCAGCTGGTGTGCCGTGTCAGAATAACTTGACATAACTTTGTGTCAAAACTGTTTAAATTCCTATAAAACAAGTCAGGTTTTTAATTTCAATATAAAAGGACACTTGAACTAAATATGTGGAAGATATCAGTCTAAGTTGACTTTTTCTAAACTTAAACTTTGTTAATGAATTTCATAAAGTCCAGCGTTGACTTGGACTCTACAGTCTGTGCAGCCCCTGTTTTTGGCATCATTTGCTCACATTCTTCCGTTTACAGCAGACTGCTGATCATTAGCATTGGCCTTCCTTAGTCAAGGTCAAAGTTACATCGTCAGGGTTTTATTTAACCTCTCGGCCACTGAGACGTTTCTGTCCTCGGGCTCACCTCCTTCTTTCCTTTTCTTTCTCTTTTCAGTTTCCCCCCTCTCTGTTTTTATTAGATAATTCCTTTGTGCCTCTCTGGTTCTGAAACGTTACCGCTCTTGTTAAGGACAAGCTGTGGGTTCAGGTTGGGGTTGCTGCGGTGGGCTGGAGGCCACATTTGCTTCAGTTCTGCGCTGTCCATTGAAGGTGGCAGGAGGGGTTGTGACTTTGGGGGTTTTGACCCTCAGATTCTTTATTTTTACTAGGAAGGGATCCAAGGATGGAGCCGTTGATGTGAATAGCTTCCCAAGGTGACTGGATCCCAATAAAGAGGCCGTCACCCTGGCCGGGGCCCCCCTTCCCATCTGAGACACAACCTTTATTGGGCTGGTTATGAGCCTGGGCATCTATTAAACCCCGTCCAGCCTGCACTGAGGAATTTAGGGCCAGGAAACAAGGGTGGGGGGTGGGAACGGGCTCAGGGAGGTGAAGTTGGGGTGACTGAAGGTGAAAGTTGAAAGGCACATTTGATGGAATCTGGTTGTTCTTTAGTCATCACCTTTAAACGTGTGCCAGGCGTGTTCTGGGGGAACTTTGCTGCAATTTATTTATTTTTTTATTTTTTTTATTCTTCACCAGAACCAGTCAATGGGCCTTTTGCCAAGAAAATGTTATACAGTGTGAAACTTTCCTTCACAAGGCGGTGAGAGGGAGACAGAGGGAGACAGGAGTCTCGTAAACATCCCACCTCTGTTTGTTCACATGGGGCTGGGGGGGTGGACACACGGTCAGGTCTGCTTGGACTCCCTTTTTTAATAAAAGTGGACATAAGCACACATGTAAAAAATAAAAGCAAGAGTCAAAAAGTCAGCAGAGGTATCACCATCACCCCACAGCTCCCCCATAAATGGTGAAGCAAATCAAATCTCAGCTGCCAATCAACATTTTATCTGGCCATCTGGCCATCAGCTAATTGTGTCCCTTTTAAGTCCCTGTCAATCAGCAGTGACCCCCCCCCCAGTCCCCCTTGCTTTTCTCTTAAAAATGCCTGCTTTGGGGCTTGTTGCCTCCTGGCTCCATGGGGTGGCTCCTGCATGTGCTTGAAGGGGGGGGGGGGGGGGGGGGGGTTGTTTGTTGACCACTCTCTCCTAATCAGCTTTCATCATCATTTCAAAGGCTCAAAGAATTAATGCAAACAAGATGCTTTGATATTATAACAGACCCTTTTTTTTTTCTGTCTCTGTCTCCTTCTGCAGCGGTGGAGACCCAGAGCACCAGTTCCGAGGAGATGGTGCCCAGCTCGCCCTCCCCTCCTCCTCCCCCCCGGGTCTACAAGCCCTGCTTTGTGTGCCAGGACAAGTCATCTGGTTACCACTACGGAGTGAGCTCCTGTGAGGGCTGCAAGGTAAATGAAGCCAGAGGTGCATCAAGAGTTTACAGGAACGTACGTAAGATCCAACAGCTGAGCTCAACTGAAAGAGGAACCCTCATGAGCCTGGCAGATGTGACGAGTGCAGCTGTGATGTTGCTGAGCTGCCCCCTAGTGTATGCATACGAGTACTGCACATTTTGTAATTAACAACAGAGTCTTGTGTAGGATAATCAAGTTTAGAGAAGTGGAAAAAGTTCAGTCAGAAACCAGTAAAGAAGTGTCAAGGTTATGAACAAACAACATCTTACCTGTTGTAGATACCTATTTGAATGACCCCAGCTTGAGCAAGTGGGAGTTTTTTTATTACCCTTTATTTATACAGGTAGTCTCACTGAGTCACGATAACTCATTTTCAAGAGAGACTTGTTTGGGAGCAGATGGTCGAGGTTAAGGGCCTTGCTCAAGGGCCCAGAGTGGGGCAAATGAGGGTGGAGGCAGGTGTGGGTGTTTCATTTTGTTCAATTGTGGTGAGTTAATTGGTGAGTTAAACTGAATTTATTGATTAATTATTTAATTAATTGGTGAGTTTCATTTAATTTATTGATTAATTATTTATCCTTGTTACCACAGTTTTAAAAAAAAATTAGACAAATTATTTGTGACCAGATTAGATCAATTTATTGCTAAACAAAACATTCTACATAGCAGTCAGTATGGGTTTAGAACAAAAAACTATATCAATGGCTGTCATGGAATTGATAGAACAAATAACAACTGCTGTCGATCTAAAACAATATTGTGTTAGTATTTTTGTTGATTTAAAGAAGGTATTCGATACTATTGACCATATTATTCTCCTTAAAAAATTGAATAAATATAGCATTAGAGGATTAGAAATACAGTGGGTATCTAGCTATTTGAAAGATAGAAAAACAGTTCGTACAAATAAATGATGTAAGATCTGACCTCTGTAATATCACATGTGGAGTTCCTCAAGGTTCTGTACTTGGACCAAAGTTATTTATTTTATATGTGAATGACTTGTTAAATGTGTCAGGACTCCTTAAATGTGTTCTGTTTGCAGATGATACCACACTTTTTTGTTTGAGTAAAGATATAGAACAGATGTTAGAGTTGAAGCAGACAGAATTTATAAAAATCCAAACTTGATTTAAACTTAATAAACTATCACTAAACTTAGATAAAACTAACTATATGATATTAAGTAATACTTTGTAGAAAGAACTGTTGATGTTCCATTTAGAGTCGAGGGTGTTGAGATTTGTAGAGTTAGTGAGGTGAAGTTTTTGGGTGTTATCATTGATGAAAAGCTGACATGGAAACATCACATAAATTATGTAAGAATAAAAATAGCTACATCTATCGCAGTACTGTACAAAGTTAGGGAGTTATTAAATGATAAATCTCTGTATATGTTGTATAACGCAATATTTTTTCCACACTTTATTTTTCTTCTTTCTGCTGCCTTTCATTTTATTTGTGATTGTATTTCTTATTGTATATAGAATTGGTTTTTTTTTTTTAAATAAATAAACTTTATAATAATAAAATAATAATAATTAATTGGTGAGTTTGATTTTGATGGCCCTGAAAATGAGTCCAAAAAGGGCCAAGAGCAAAGGAATGTGTTGCCATCTTAAAACAGCATCACATCTATTAATGCATTTTGTTTGTTTGTTTGTTTGTTTGTTTGTTTTTACATAAGATTCTGTGGTTATTTACAAGCACAAATTGTAGCAGTAGCAGCTAGCTGTAGCACCTGTTTTGCAGCCTGAGTCACTTTCTCCCGGATTATCATAATGTTTCTATTGGAATGACCATGTGATGCTGAATTAACAGCTATGTAAATATTTAAATTTTAAAAAATGTTCACAGTGAAACTTTTAACAATCGTTTTAAACATCAGTCCACTTTGGTCTTGACCTTGATCAGATAAGCTCCTCAATCTGGTCAGAAATAGATTTTTTTTTTTCTCCCAAGTTCAGGGTTTTCCAAGAACTAGCTACAGCAGGTAAGATAGTTATTTGTAACCTTTCCACTGAACCTCACCTTAAGATTTGAATGATTGTTTTAACCAGGTTAGTGTCAATAAAAACTTCGCATCTGTTAACAAACAAAATAATAAAAATATAAACGGCCTGGGGTAATTAGGTCACACTCATGAGTCAGGTCTGACTCGTGGTGGACATTTTAACAAATGGTAGTTGGAGGTAGTTTTACTTATAACTTATTTTACTTGACAAGTTTAGGGAAACTGTCTTGCTTATGTTATTTAGCGTAGCACAAAGACAGAAAACAGGACAACCAGACTGTCTCTGTCTGAGGTGACAAAATCCAGCTCCTTTAAAGCAAGACGAAGAGACAGCTGTTGTGCTGTTTCCAGTCTTAGTTCCTCATTGGAAATAAGCATTTTTGGGGAATTATTTATGAAGATTATTTCTCCTGTTCTAAATCAGTTGTTTTTTTCTGCTGTAGGGCTTTTTTCGACGCAGCATCCAAAAGAACATGGTGTACACCTGCCATCGAGACAAGAACTGCCAGATTAACAAAGTGACACGAAACCGCTGCCAGTACTGCCGGCTGCAGAAGTGCTTCGAGGTCGGCATGTCCAAAGAAGGTCGGTTGGCCTCCCCCAAAAACGAGGTATCTATTTATGAGTTAGCAAAACCACAGTCAAATGTCTCATGTTGTCTCCATTTTTACCGTCAGCGGTGCGAAACGACAGGAACAAGAAGAAGAAGGATGTGAAGGAGGAGGTGGTGCTGCCAGAAAACTACGAGCTCAGTGGAGAACTGGAGGAGCTGGTTAACAAAGTCAGCAAAGCTCACAAAGAGACCTTCCCATCTCTGTGCCAACTAGGAAAATACACCACAGTGAGTTTTTCATACATAACCGTATCCATATAAGAACGCTCGCTTTTACCTGCTGTGCTTTAGGAAAGACAAAACGCCACAGATGCTGGACACAGAGCAACCGTGTCCCTGTTTATCTCCCACAGAACTCGAGTGCCGACCACAGAGTACAGCTGGATTTGGGCCTGTGGGATAAGTTCAGTGAGCTTTCCACTAAGTGCATTATAAAGATTGTGGAGTTTGCCAAGCGGCTACCAGGCTTCACCACGCTCACCATCGCTGACCAGATCACCCTCCTCAAATCTGCATGTCTGGACATCCTGGTATTAGCGCCACACTCATCATGCTTAACCGCCCTCCCCCTCCCTCAGGCTTCCTCGCTTGTCACGCTGCTTCCCTACTGGTTCAGACATGTAGACGTGTTTATTCAGAACTTTTTACAGTGGCCACTTTTTGCCCCCCTTGCATAGATGCTGAGGATATGTACCCGTTACACCCCGGAACAGGACACCATGACGTTCTCAGATGGTCTGACGCTCAACAGGACCCAGATGCACAACGCTGGCTTCGGCCCGCTCACAGATCTGGTGTTTGCCTTCGCCGGTCAGCTTCTGCCTTTGGAGATGGACGACACGGAGACGGGACTCCTCAGTGCAATTTGTCTCATTTGTGGAGGTAGTTCATTATCTCTGCCGTCAGACTCGGGATGGCTGATGGGAACAGCTAGCTGAGCGGCTAGTTTTGTATTTTAGCATTGATGTGTGTCATCCTGCCAGCTGTTTGTCAGAGTGCTCATGTTTCCTTCACCTTTCTCTCAGACCGAATGGACTTGGAGGAGCCAGAGAAGGTAGACAAGCTTCAGGAGCCGCTCCTGGAGGCGCTGAAGATCTACACCCGCCGCAGGCGTCCCAACAAGCCTCACATGTTCCCCCGCATGCTGATGAAAGTCACCGACCTCAGAGGGATCAGCACCAAAGGTTAGCTTTTTTTGAAATGCAGCCAAAACTTTGGAGTGAATTTGTAAAGCACACAGTTTTCTGCCAAACATCCACATGGATTAAGAAAAAGTTCCCTGACAAAAACTATTTAAAGGTACAAACTATAAAATCAATCATAAAACCTCCTCAACTTCATCAGAAGGTGCAGTTTTAGAGTATTTACTCCAGATGTTTTCTAGATATACAAATCAGAAATGCCGATGTGCACATAGTGTAAACAAAGCACTTTTATCTGTACACTTACTCAATAAATATGAGCGTAAATACGTATCTGTCAAAATAGTCATAATTCTGGATTCAGAAAGACTTCATTTATTTAAATTGTCTTTGTTGGCCTCTTTTCAGTCACTTTAGCTGTTTTTGTAGGTAAACAAATGCACTTGCTTGTTGGCTGTCAACAAAATTTTAATTTAAGGACACATTAACCTTTATTACTTTGTTGATGTATTTTTTTTTTTTTTTACAGATTTTAATGACATTGTAGTGAGTACCTTTATTTGGTTTCCAAAGATAAACTGTCTACAGTAACACGGTTGGCACTGCTTCAGAACTACATGAAGCACTTTATGAGTGGTTCAAACATTTGTTCCTTAAATGATTCTTATCTTAAAAAAAATGCTTTGACTTTAGGCAATAATGTAAACAAATCAAGGGTGAGGTGAGGTGGTGTAGCTGTGGAAATCTGAGAAAGAAAAAAAAAAACTTTAATGAATGTAAGATGATGTATTCTACTGTGACAATAAAATTACAAACATAAGAAAAATTAGGTTTGTGTAAAGCAGGGGTCTGCAACCTGCGGCTCTGGAGCCACAAGTGGCTCTTTGGTCCATCTACAGTGGCTCTTTCAAGCTTTGACCAAAACTAACATAAAACTGAGTTTCACTGGTTGTTATACTAAAATTTAAAAGGTTGTTTTAACAGTCATTCTTTTTGCAAATATGTGAAAAGTACAACAGTAAAAAGAGTAAAGCATATCACGTTATGTTTTATCTTTTCAAAGTTGGATACTTAATTTTACCACAATAAAAATAAATAGTTAATTGTTTAAAATTTTACAAAATTTTTTAAAATCTATATTTTTCTCTTCATTCTTTACAACAATCCAGTCTTTTCTTTTGTCTTAAAATGTACAAATAAATGTTGAAACCCATTTGATATTTTTAGTTTGATAAAGTCACCCCTACTGGCCAGAATAATGTGTATGTATCGTCATCATTATGTTCCCATACAATGGTGAAATTGGCTCCCTGCATTTAACCCATCCACCACTAGGTGAAGCAGTGGGACGCTGTTGAAAGCGCCTGGGGGAGCAACTGGAGATAAGGTGTCCTGCTCAGAGACACCACTAGGTCCCGAGTCGGCTCTCCTGCTCCTACACCATCTCGGCCTCCCCCCCCCAAAAAAAAACCTCCAACAAATTTAAAGTGGTCCATGGGCCACCAGTTGATGATCACAGTTGTACCAGATTGTTGTGGCTCCACACACTTAATTTAGTGAACAAAGGGGCAAAAATGGCTCTTTTGTTCGTAAAAGTTGCAGGTCTGTTCAGATTTGTGTTCAGTTTTTCCTCATCCATCTGATTAACCCCATTCAGACTAGTTGCCACAGCTTACGGACCGTAGCTAACATAAATATTGCTGTAACTCTGTCAGCTTTACATGTATTAAGCTAAAATAGGGTGTGGTAGTAGATGAGAGTCACTCTCAACACATACTCTGAGCTCAAACAGATGGCTTGAGGACTTTTTTTAAAATGTTGCAGATAAAGGAGGCATTCCTTCAAGGATTGATGGTTATTTCTGCCATTGAACTTTTACAGTTTTCTGCATAACTAATGTAATCAGTGGGGATGTTACTGTTCCCTTTAAAAAATAGCTTTGATTTTTGTACATTTTCTTCTTTGTTTCCTCCCATGTTAACAGCTGACTGTCGTTTGTCCCTGCAGGTGCAGAACGAGCCATCACCCTGAAGATGGAGATCCCCGGCCCCATGCCGCCTCTGATCAGGGAGATGCTGGAGAACCCAGACATGTTCGAGGACAGCAGCGACTCCAGCGACAGCGCCGCGGCCGCTCCCCCCGCCGTTCAGGCCATCAAGCAGGAGGAGAAGTCCCCGTACGAGTCAGCCTTCGAGGAGGAGGAGGAGGAAGAGGAAGATGACTACTGGGACGAGGAGAAAGAGTGGGGGGCGGACAGTGACGGCGAGCTCTGGGGGGAGGCGGCAGGGAGCACGCAAAAGAAAGCAGGGAAAACGCCGTGAAGGAGACGGGGAGGCCGCTGCCTCACCGAGCAAAACTACAAACACACCTGCAGATTCAGGCTCTCTGACACCGATAACTAGTTTTTTATTTCCAACATTCTGACTGTACGGGGCTGAGTCCAGAACGAGAAGCAAAGAAGTGAAGAAGAATTACATTTCAGTGGATTCATGAGGGCACCGGTGAAAAGGTTTAAAGATGTTACAAAGTTGTCGCCACAAAGAGGAAAAAGCAAAAATGCACTCCTGCGATGTCTGTTAAGGATTAAGGGCTATGCTTTGTATAAAATGGATGGTTAAAAAAAAAATTATTTGCAACAACCGAACTTACATTTTTTTGTGGCGTCCTTGTGGCACCACAAATGATCTGTATTACTTTTCCGAAATATGCAACCTATTTTTTTCATTCTATGTTTTTTTTTAATTATTTCTAAGCATGTAACACACTATCAACTTTATGCCTCTTTGTTGGATCTTTTGTATATATTTCCACTCAGCCTTGCTCACATTGGACTTGATTACTTTGAACAACGTATGCTTTAAGTAGACAAAGTGAGAGACAAGGAGTCATGAGCAGGACTCAAACTCATTGTGGATGTCACGTAATACGCAAACGAAATCTTTTGCTTTATGAAATTAGCTGATAGGTATTGTAATTCTGGTGCGTAAGAGCCAAATAAGAAGAAACACCGACATGTCTCCACCTCTTGACCAAAATACTCATGTTTAGTGACACCTATCTGCCAAAAAAAAAAAAACTAACAAGTTCAAGAGTTGATTTATTATCACCACCCACTTGATTCTGTCAGGACCGTGTCTCACAGTTCTGTACAACATTTTCTCCCAAAATAAATGCCTCCCATCTGAACATTTTCTCACAGCAAAGAGAAGAAATGATCAACAACTCAAGCTACAAACTCCTCTTACATCGTAAAAAAAATCTGTCAAAATTAGCCTTTCCAAGCAGTTTACTGCTCAAAAACCTCAAATATGGGTGTCAAGCAAGCGAGTAGCACCCATAAAACAGTATTTTCACTGAAAATAAACTATATTTTAGAAAGCAGACACTTTTATGAGCACATTTATAACCCATTATTAACATGTTCTAAATGTTTGTTAAGCTTAGCGTTCCTTGAAGGAATGCATATCACTCGCTGACCTGCATGTCAAACCTTTACATTAAAATTTTGCTCAGTCTTGTCACAGTATAAGTTATGGATGACTCTCAGCTACAACCGCACCAAGATTCAGCTCATGTTCTACTGGCTGAGTTGTGGTTTTTGTGTTGTCCGTGGGCGCCATCTTCACTCAAGTTGACTCCAAAAGGTAATAAAATGTTCATCCAATGATTAATTTCTAAGACTTTATTCAAGATCTATACAGTGGTTGATCACATGTTTGGCTAAGAAACACACATTGTTGCCTGTTTCATGAACAGTGGGCGATAATGTGTTTTTTTTATGCATTTAGAGATTTATCACCTTTTATTCTCTTCATCTTTAATCCTGAAGTTATTCACCACAATTGATTTCTTCTTCTAAAAACCACTCAAATGTCTTATAAATGTGCTCCTAACTCTTCATGGATACGTTAGATAAAAGTTTAAATAACTTGTCTGTAAACTGTTTCCAGTAGAATAACTGAGTGGAAGAAAGGCTTGAAACAGATCATCTCTTCAAACGTATTCATCCATCCATGCATTATCTTTACCCGCTTCTTCCTTTTCGGGTCGTGGGGGTCACTGGAGTTCCTGTTCCATGCCTGTCTTTGGTCACCACAGGGCGTCATATTTCCACATCTGCAGACAACGTGACCTGATGAGGCTCCAAAGGCAGTTGATGACTCCCTTTTGATGCTGGAGCATTACTCTGCCTCAGACCCATCCAACCATTATCTTTACCCGCTGAGTCCTTTTCGGGTTTTGGAGGTCACTGGTGCCCATGTCCAGCCATCATCACTGTGTGATAGGCGGGGTACACCCCGGACAAGTCTCCAGTCCATTACAGGGACACATAGAGACAAACGAGACAATCATTCACTCTCTCACTCACACCTAGAGACAATTTAGAGTTACCAATCAGTCTAACATGCATGTTTTTGGTCTGTGGGAGGCAACTGGAGTACCCGGAGAAAACCCACACATGCACGGAGAGAACATGCAAAATCCACCCAGAAAGGCCGATATTTGAACCGGGGCGACCTGCTCGCTGAGAGGCAGCAGCTCAACCAACTGCACCACCGTGCCGCCCTCAAACGTATTCAGATGTTGCAATATTCCAAAAAAACTTAAGAACTAAACAGCAGCGTTGCTTAAAGTCCTTCCAAAAGTTGAAGTCTGTACTACAATGTGTGTGTGTGTGTGTGTGAGGATTTAAGGCTATTAGGAAAAAAAAGTAGTGATTAAAAAAAACAATGTTGAAGCCACAAATGTGGTTTCAAGACTGATAAAGTCACACTCAAGATGTTTTGAAGTGGGAGGATTGTGAACAATTAATATCTCACCTGTTGTAGATGTCTGGAGAAATGGAGTTTACTTCAGACCAACAGATGTCTGAGCAGCTCCAATGTTAGAAATGTAGCTGCTGTTCATGCACAAAACTTCACACTGCTCATTACATCAGCTCCCCATGGTGTAAATATTTTTTGTAAAATTCTGTTATTTTCAACTGTAAATAGCAGCAGCAAGTAGCTGGGGCACTTCCTGCTACACCATTGTAGTACTTCTGTGTAATAATAGCCCTAGCATAAACTGCTATGAAATACTTGAGCTTGGAGTCGTTTTAACTTGACAGCAACCCGCTGTGCTCTTGATCCCACTCTGACTAGCCGTTAGCTCGTCAGTTCCGTCAGAATTACTCTACTTCTTCAATTGAAAATTGTTCAAATCGCTATCTACAACAGGTAAGATAATAACTGTTCATAACCTTTCCACAGAAGATCTGTATGTCCCTTTAAGTTGTATTTGCTTTTATTAGATGAAAATGCCACAACGTCTCTTTTCCTGTGTCCTTTGCTCAGTATTTACGTGTACTTCTACACAACATATCAAGTATTTAATTGTGTTTTTGCATCACATAAGCAGGATGTTTCTTTTTAATGTTGTTTTGTTTCTTGAATTTGTTTCTTTTACTGAGTTTGAGCTGGTGCAATAAATTAGCCATGGAAGAGGTCACCAGGGTCTCAAATCTATACTCACACACGTAAACATGTAATGTTAACTTAAACGACCAAAGACAGGTTTGATTTTAGGGGGCTCCTCTTGATTTATAATCCATGTGCTTTGTATGTTGTGACGGCAGGATTTTCTTCAAATACTGAAGCTGAACTCTTATATTGTATTGTTGCTGATTTTTGACTGCATTTCACTGCAAACATCTTTACATGTTCAGGGATTTACATTTGAGCTTTAATGCTTTGAGCTTTCGTGGCTCCCAGCTGCACAAAAACAAAAACCATGCTGACATGTTCTGGTTGCATTTTTATGAAAAGCTAACACAATGTTTGTTTTTTAATGCATACTATATGTTTTTCTTGTATTTTGATAAAAAGCTTCTTTTTTTGTTTGTTTTCAGACCTTTCCGTGTCCATTTGTCATCTTTATTTGTCTTTTTGCAAACATTTAAATGAAGAGTCACATTTTAGAAGCAGATCAACATGTAGCATTTCAGCTAAACAAGACCTCAACTGTAGAAAAAAAAATAAACAGACCTCACAAAATATTTTATTACCAACACACGGATCTGATTTTCCACTAAAATATGTTTCAAACAAACGTTCATGTTCTTATAATCCAACTTGGAGCTTTAAAAGTCGAAGCGGATCATTTCGCACTTGACCGAGATCGCACACCCACACAATCTGACACGGCTACAGGAGTCACGCTCTCGTGCAAAAAATAAAATAAAACTCTGGGGCCAAAATGGCGCCAAAACTAAACGAAAAAGGCTTCAAGTTCAGCCAAGTGCATATTTCTCACTGCAGCAGGAACACATTACCGTACAGCTTAAAGGCCTGAAATCAAGGCGTTAGATGTGAAGTGCTGAAAATCTGCTCAGACCGATGAAGTCTGCACCTAACAGCTTTTAGAAGAGGTTTGACTCCATGTGCTACTGACCACACTTAAAATGAGAGAACTTACTAATTCCACAACAAAACCTTCATATTTGTCAAAAGAGCAAACTAAATGCTCCGATTGTCTTACTTTCTAAATAAACTTGAGTATATTCTTGTTCCAGGAGCAGCGTCTGCTCTTTGTGTCACCACATCGGGGAGTTGGCCAGCTCACTGCACACACAAAAAATAAAAAAGGTTTTTATCCCAAACATATTAGGAAACCTATAATAAAGTTAGTTGTATCCAATGTTAGAATTATTGCACACTTATTTTATTCACCTGCAGTAATATGATACAGTTTTATACCATTGTGACAAGTTAACCTATATATGAATGAATGAATAGTGGGAGTGGTGGCACAGAGGTTAGAGAAGGTGGGCCTGTGATAGGAAGGTCGCCGGTTCAATTCCCCTGACCGACAACATTAAAATGTGGCAGTTCCACCCTCATTTGCTCCACCCTGAACCCTTGAGCAAGGCCTTTAACCCCCACCATCTGCTCCCCTGGGCTGCCCTAGATGGCAGCTCTCTGCTCCACACAGAGGGCTGTGGTAGCTCGGTGGTCTGCGGCTGCGTCAGGAAGGACATTCGGCGTAAATCAATTGCTAAATCTTCGTGCAAATTAGTTTGATGTAGAGACCCCGGAAGAAGGGAGCAGCCGAAGAAGAAATAAAATGAACGAATGTTTGATTTTTGATGCCTTTAAGGTTCAGTCAAGTTCTGGAAACACAAGGACCTAAAACCAAGTTTCAGCCCATCTTAATCCAAAAGTATTTTTTAAATGTTTTTTCCCAGAATGTTAAATTTAGACTTTCTTTAGTTTTATTGTTTAAAAGCAGGTTTACATCAACTTATTTAAAAGTCATTTTCTTTTCCATTAAAATTTTTGGAAATTGTCCTTGGGACACTTTTGGCTCTCGGGTCATAAGTGGCCCACTGTGGGCCATAAGTGGCCATGCATGCGGCCACTAGCCATAAGCCTTAGTGGCACGTGGGCCGCCCACGTCTGAACTAAAAAAACTGGGAATAAAATGTGTCTTTGTGACCAGCTGCTGGCAACAAAGTGTCTAAAGATCCCATTTAAAATATATATATTCTAAGTTGTCACTTGCTGTTTGTGTTGACGCAACACTGACCCATCCCTTGAGCTTGGAAGCCTTTTTATGCTTAACTGGCTCAGATAAGAGTAAAAAATAATAATTAAAGAAAAGCATTCCATCGCTCAGGAAAGCGAATAAAAAGCAGCCAAAGTTAAAAAAAACTGGCTTCTTGGAAAATATTAAGACATAAATGTCAGTTTAAAACTTTTGCACTTTACTCTTTGCGCTGTTTGTCTAAAAGATGTGTTTTTAGGGAAATAAAGGATTTAATAAAACAACAAAGGCTTTGTCAGAGCAGAGTGTGACAGCTTATAGCAGAGGAGTGTGTGTTGTGTGTGACTTGACTATAAAGGGATAGTTTGGTTGTTTTTGAAGCGATGCTCTGTCAGAAATTACTAATAACTAGTGCCATATCTGCCGTGAAATCAGTCATAGGACACAAGCCTTCATCCACGCTAGGCTATCGGCTAGCCAAATGAGGATCAGTTATTTGTCATTTTTCATCCTCATAAAACAACTCAAGAAGTCTAGAGTCTAAAGAAAAGATGTAACTGAGTTAGCCCAAGGCTAATTCCCTTTGCATAAAACGGAGTTGTCCCAAAGTACAAATACGCAACATAAAAAAACAGCAGTAAACAAATTAAAACATTGGAATTTAAATAAAAGCATCACATCAAAAATGACCAGACTATCCCTTTAAAGTCCACGTTTGTCACTGTCAGGGGAAAGGTTTATCATTAGGAAATCATCATAAGGTTTAGCTAAAGGTTTATCATGGCTAATGTTAAATGAATGTTAAACCATGTGTGTGAGGTCAGAGAGTCTTTTTCTCTCTCAGAGAGTAGCCTGCAGGTAGAGTTGCATTCGGGACTAATAAATCTGGCCCAGACTGGACCGAGCCCGTAGTTTTTTTTTTCCAAGCTCTACCCAGACCCAGAGGATTACCGGTAATTAGAGGGCCGAACCCGAAAAAAAACAACCTTTTTTTTTTATTAAGCTTTTACTGCTTTTGACATGATAGTTTTAAAAACGTAATGAAAGGTAGATATGATTTCTTCATATTAACAAATCAACAAACGGATATTAACATACAAAACGAATAGCCTAAAAATATCAACTGTAAAAATAGGCTGTTATACAGATGAACAAAACTATTTTTAGAGCAAAATTATTTGGAAAAATATAGAACAAGGCTATTTTAATTGAACGCGCTACTCGTTTCGGCTTTTGTAGATGCTGCTACTTCCTTCACCGCAGATGACAGCAGGTGCAGAGACGCCCGCGGCCAGTGATCAGCTGATTGATCCATCCATCCATTATCTTTACCCACTTCTACATTTTTGGGTAGCGGGGGTCGCTGGTGCCCATGTCCAGCAGTGGCTGTGCAAAAGGTGGGGTACAGCCTAGACAGGTTGCAAGTCTATTTCAACTGGCTGGTCAGCGGGCGCGCGCGGCCGGTGACATGCTGTCCATCTGAGCTTAATGCAACTTTTTTAAACCTCTTTAAACCGGCCGGTTGGACTTGCCTCCTCCTCAACAAGTAGATTAACACAATTTTATATTGTGCATTATTTAGTTGGTTATTTTGGTGCTGCATGATACGCAAAACCGCAGAAGCCTGAGCGCACGTGTGCAATTATTGCACAATTACTGCGCAATGCGCCAGCGATCTCTTCCACAGTCTGATTAACTGCTGCACTGTTCTTTCTTTCTTCATCCTCTCATTTTATTTGTGCTATATGATTTGTAAAACCGCATCAAAGCTCGAGACCGGCCCAGCCCACACATTAATCACATTATAACGGCTCGGACCGGCCCTAATCCAGGTCGGTCCAGGTTGGGTTTCGGGTTCAAGGTAGAAATGACAGCTCTACCTGCAGGCACCTGATACCTCCAAGTCTAAGAGGCCGAGGTCATCAGTGACAGTCTGTGAGGGCTGATAAGCATTATAAAAACACTTCCCGCACACTGTTCGGTGCAGATCTTCACGACCGGGGCTTCAGTGAAACATCTGTGTAAGCTTGTGGTGAACTCTGCCCTTGCCAGTAAACTGGGTTAAAAAATCTTCTCCTGTCTTCGTGTGCGGCTCTTTTGAAGTAAGTAGATAATGAGAGGATATTTTTATCCAACAGTCACCTCAGGACCGGATTGACGAGTTCAGGAAGGATCAGTTGGCTCCCTTCACCAACTGGATTTTTACTGCTCCGCTTCACCTCGACCTGGTTTTACAGAAAAACGGTTCCTGTGAGAAACTGTGACGTTTATCACTCTCCAGAGTAAAACAACCTTCAACAATAAATAAATACACAAATAATTAAATATTGGTTTGTTTGTGTCTTCATAGCTGCATTTTTTTTTTAAGATTAAAAATTGTGCATGCACGGACATCACTAAGGCCATAAATAGATGTTCACAAATTTACTTCACACTAGACTCCGTAAAGTTATGTAACATTCTTGGTGTTTCGTCTGTGTTTGTTGAAGGATCCATTTCGATGGATTCCACTGTGACAGCCTGTTTCTGCAGCAGCTCTCACCCGGTGTTCAACAATGAAGCTGTGACAGTGACACAGAGGACTCCCCCACAGTCAAATATTGACCCGCTCAGACTGCGTCCAAACCAAACGCAGGTGGTGTTAAAAGCACTTGAATGGGACGGCACACCTGTGAGTCAAAGGCCGGCTTGTCCCCCTCGCTCTGGCTTCGAGTCTCGGCTCCATCCTCCATGTCAGCCGTCGGGAAGAGAGGTGAAGAAACTGAGCTGGAAGAAGCTGATGATGCATCTTCATCTTGCTTAGAGGACGAGTCTAGAGCTGTTCGAGCAGACTCGTTACAGCTTGTTAAAAGCAGAGTCAAATATTAAAAAAAAAACATTTACTCACAGCTAGAAGACAAAAGACTGTTTAGTTTAGCTTCAGGTATAATCCCCAACTTCTGCTCCAACTGGTGAAGGTAGCTCTCCACATCCTGTCACAGGCCACACATGTAAAGATGAAAAAGAAAGAAAGTAAGTTTAAAAAAAAAGAAAATAGAAAGAACCCAAATTCCATAAATAGGTAAAGAACTGTATTCTTCAAGATTTTGTCAAAGTAAAAAGGCAGGAACAGTGTCTAGAATTCATATTGTACAACAAAAATACATGCACTCACAATTTTTAGAGTAAAACATATTTTTTTAGCTAAATATATATATATAAATATATATATATATACAGTAGTCCCTCGCTACGTCATGGTTTGTTTATCATGGATTAGTTATATCACGGTTTTTCAAAATAAGACTGGACATGACACAATTGGTTGATTGATGGATGAGCCGCACAATCGGCATTAGATTTTTATTTAAAATAAATAATTTTAAATTGTTTAGCACCTCCCGCACCTTTATGCAGTCCATACTGCAGGATAAACTTCCTGCTGCAGCTGATCAGCTGTTCACTGTGCAGAGCGTGGCCAAGAGCGCTTGCAGGTGGCAAAGAACAGAAGAGGCAGGGAGCTGAAATCATGACATTATGTGCTCTTTTAGAGTGTTTAGAGTTTAGAAAAATTGTTTAGAATATTGCAAGAGTGTGGGAAGGGTTTATATATATATATATATAAATATAAATAAATAAATATATATATATATATATATATATATATATATAATAAAATAAACTACTACTTGTACTACTTGTATTACTATTCCCAAGTCATGGTTTTTCACTTATCGCAGGTCTTCAGGGTATAGATCCCCCACAATAAACAAGAGACTACTGTACTTCAGAATCAGAATCAGCCTTTATTGTTATTGCACCGAAGCACAAAAAAATTTCATTTCAGTACAACCCGTCCAAAGAAACACAAACAACCAGACAACATAGACATGGGAAGACGTGGTGCCTTAGGCTGCAGCCTCATGAGAGGCGCTGCCAGTGTGAGGTTGCAAAAAACCTCAGCACAAAAAAGCAACATACATGACATAATAAGATGCATGAAGTGGGTGAGGTTAAATGTGTGTGTGTGTGGGGGGGGGGGGGGGGGGGGGGCGCCGGAGCGTACAGAGGCAGGGAGCACCCAGCACAGGCCGCCCAAGAGACTGTTGCAGTCATCTGGCACCTCGTATCCAACCTAGGTTACTGCATCGAGGGTGCAAAAGGAGGAAAGCCAGCGAAGGCAGTGGGTTGAGGGGAATGTGAGCTGTGCGAATGAGTGTATGCATATGTACATTTGTAAGTAAGTCCGTGAACACTGTTCCAGACAGGTCCATAGATGTCCTTGGGGAAGGGAACGGGTAGTGGAAGCAGAGAATCTTATTCACATAACATCCAGGAGAATTTGAGATAGTCAGCTTCCAAGGCTGACACAGGGAGCCAGATTCAGATAACAACAGTTGTTTTGGGTCAGGCCGACTCCGTTGATTTCCGTCTGCCTTACAGTCTCACTAGTACATCTCAAAGGCGACTCCAAACAGCCAAACTTGTGGTCAGTACCGCCGAGTCAAGCTTGTAACTTCTCCCAGGTTGATTCATTCCCGCCAGCGAGATTCAAGAGCCGCATGTAGCCTGTGATTTTCAGCAGAAATTGCATCCAGCTTATGGCTCAGCTCACAGTATTTGAGTGTGAGTGTTCACAGCACAGCACATTCCTTCACACAGGCCAGGGAGATTCACAATGGCCAGAAAAGCTGCCGACGTTTTTCGAATATGTCGATATGCCAGGTAACCACCAACCCCAAAAAGCAGAAATCCTGTTATCATAAATCCAATTATGTACGCATCTTCAACATCCTTGACTGACAATATGGACAGACACATGATCTTCCACTGCCCCCAGGAATCCATCATGTATCCAGCTGCAAGTGTCCCATCGGGGCAGGAGGGCTCTCCTTCGCCCTGTCTTCTCATCAAGAAAATTTGATCAATTGCTTTGATAGATCAGCTGACCAAATCCATAATTTACAATTCGGAAGATATGCAAAGAGAAGCTCTGAAAGGTTCACAGGACAAAGAGCAGAAGCAGGGGAAGGAGCGAGAGGAAAAAGTGTCCGCCTTCACCGAGAGTAAGAAGGAAAAAAAAAAGATGTTATGTAATTCATTTTATGTTGCTAACTTTAATTATCACCAACTCATTTGAAATGCATCATGCAGGCGACAGTGTGGGTCAGAACGTCTCACGATGCCTCTTAAGACCGAGGCCTTGTGGGACATTTTGACCCCAGGGCAGCAGGAGGGGTTTATATTCAGTGGGTTTGGTGTTGTGATGTTGAACACTTGCCTGTTTGTGCAGTTGTTCCTCCTCTCTCTCCTTCTGAACCTTTCTCAAGTTAACCCTGAGCTCCTGCAGCTCTCGCTTGGCGTCGTTCAGCAGCACCTGGTGGGGGAGTTTACAGTAACTTAACTCTGTCTCACATCTTGACGTAGCTCTCTCCCTCTCCTCCTGCTGCTGATCACATGTTAATGTGAGGAAATGTTTACTCACTGTTCATGGAAGCTTTTCTATTTGTGCCAGCATGTGAGCACTGAAAGAACTGCTGGCATGCTTCTCCAGTTTCCAAAAACACACCCTGAGCTAACGATGAGGTGGAAACCCTGCACCCGAGTTATGTTTAGCCTCCATGATGTTTTTGTGTCAGATGTTGAAAATCCCTGCGCTGCATTTTGACCAGCCTACCTTCTCCTTCCCGAGCTCGGCCTCCAGGTTGTCTCGTTCCATCCTCTCCTCCTGGAGCCACTCCTCCTTCTTTCTGAGCTCACAGCTCAGGTAGTATAACTTCTTTTTATCAGTCTGAACAAAGAGAGGATAAAGTTGGAATGATAAAAGTTAGTGTGAGGGCTGAGTGCTGAGATTAGCTGAAGAAGCTCAAATTGAGTAGTTAAAAGTTAAAACAAACAAAACCGAGGGTAAAATCAACGGAACAGAGCGTTAAATGAAGTAAACAAATGTTAACAAATCAATGACAAAGTAGCAGTAGCTGTAGTAAAACAGATGCTGAAGCTGAAATTAACACAACAGTAGCTAAAGTATAACTTAGCTTAACTGTAGCTAAAGTATAACAACACGCAGTAGCTCAAATATAACTTAGCTCAACAGTAGCTAAAGTATAACACAACAGTAGCTACAGTGTAGCTCAACTGTAGCTAAAGTAGCCTATAACTTAACACAACAATAACTAAATTATAATTTAGCTCAACTGCAGCCAAATTATAACTTAACACAACAGTAGCTAACTTAGCTCAACTGTAGCTAAAGTAACACAACAGTAGCTAAAGTATAACTTAGCTAAACTGGAGCTACAGTATAACACAACAGTAGCTAAAGTATCATTAGCTCAACTGTAGCTAAAGTAACACAACAGTAGCTAAAGTATAACTTAGCTAAACTGTAGCTAAAGTACACCACAACAGTAGCTAAAATATCATTAGCTCAGCTGTAGCTAAAGTATAATAACACAACAGTAGCTAAAGTATAATTTAGCTCAACTATAGCTAAATTATAACATAACACAACAGTAGCTAAAGTATAATTTAGCTCAACTGTAGCTAAATTACAACTTAACACAACAGTAGCTAAAGTATAACTTAGCTCAACTATGGCTAAAATATAACACAACAGTAGTGTATCACTTAGCTCAACTGTAGCTAAATGCTAAAAGGAGCAAGACAGTAAATAAAAACAAAAATGAGCATGAGTTTGTCAAAGTACCATACTTCAAATCTTGTATTTTTATGAAGATTTTTTTTGGCTGTTTTGTAAATAAAGTCAATAGGAAAAAAATATATATAATAAACAAAAGTTATTGTGCCCATCTCCTGAACGAGCTAAGCATTTTGATATCTGAATAGTTAAAACAGCTGAATGTTTGCTGAAGTTGTTAGTTGCCAATAAACGTAGAGAAGGAATTATAAATGCTGACTCTGTTCATACAAACATCTAGAATTCCTTGAAGGAATGTCCATGAGCCGCCGTTCTTTATGCCAGAGTTTTAAACTAGAATCATCTTGTGGTTAGATGAGGTCAAATCAAGATGTAGGTCATCTGTTAGCACCCAGACTATGTGAGCGACTCTCAGCTACTACCACACCTGGTTTGAGCTCAACATCTGTAAAATTGACTGAGTTGACCAAAGTTGACTAGCCAACTTTGGCGGCCATCTTGAATTGTGGGGAAAGGTGCAGTGGTTCATGAGATGTTTTGCTTTCACACACGCACACATACACATGCACGGGCAGTGTTTAAAAAAAAAAAAAAAACTTTGCATCAACATCCAGGTCACCAAGCCCATCAGAGCCTCACTTCTGCTGCATGTTTGTACGCCTCCCTCTCGAGGGCCGAGTTAGCCCGCTCCTCTCTGAGGAGCAGGTCCTGATCCGACAGCTGCAGGGTGAGCTGGGCCGCCTGCAGTCGGGCCTGGTGCAGCTCACCATGGGTGTGGCTCTGCCGGGCGCCCAGCTCTCTCAGCTCTCTGCGCAGACCTTCACTCACAAGGTCAGTGGCTTCCAGACGCTCCTGGAGCCCCTGCACCTCTGCTGCTGAGGCCTCAGACTCCACCTGCAGGGAGGGGGGTAAATAAACTGAAAACCAGCTGGCCTCGTCACGGTGAACTGTTGGATTAAAGGTTTTAAAGTTATTTGAAACCAATTTAGATCTTTACAGCCGCCAGCTGCTGTCAGTTTACCTGCAGAGACTTTTTCTTTTCCTCGTCGTGTTTCATTTGGCTCGACATTTTCTTCACTCTTTCTTTCAGCCTACCAAAACAATAAATAAAAAAAAATCATGTTGGTTTTAGGTCCAAACAATGAAATACAGTAAAAATAAAAAGTTCACACAAACCTTCACTCTTTGCAAAAAAAACCCAAAGAACAAACGGCTACAACTTAGTCCATTTTACCAAAAATAGGACATTATTTTCAAGGTTTGACAAGAACAACTAAAACTTCAATATCGCTCTACAATCTGATCTTAAAGCTCAGGTACTGGGTGGTGGGCGAAATGTGTTTGTTTAAGGAATGTTAGGCCTTTATTGTAACAGACTGCTGAATCATTTGTGGTCTTGATCAACAGACTTTCTGAAGGTCTTAAAAAGATCAATCTTTTTATATTTCTCTTTGATGGTTGAAAACATTTGCACAGCGCCTCACCGTTCCAGTTCCTTGCTGGCCTCCGTCTCTCTGTCGGTCAGAGCCTTGATGTCCTCCTCCAGGTCTTTGACCCGACATTGATTCTCGTCCTTCTCAGCCAGGAGCTTACTCAGCTCGGAGTTCAGAGTCTCCTCGCTGTACTTCACATCCTGTCCGTTTCAGGAAGAGGGGAAACAAAATATCATGCGTTTGCCTTTCGTTTGGGAATAAAGTTCATCAGGTGAGCCATCACACACCTGATGTTTTCCCTCCAACGTCTTGAGCAGCTTACAGCTGTGCCTCAGGTTGTCCCTGAGTTCTGTGATCTCCTCCTTCATTGCGTCTCTTTCACTCTCCCACTCGATTCTTGCTCTTTTGCTGCTTTCTTTTCCCCTCTCTGCCTCCTCTTTTGTTCTCTCTAAGGCTCGCTGTAAGTCTGCTTGTCTTTTTAAGCTCTCTTCTAACCGGCTCTGGTTACAGCACAGGAAAAGAATGTTGGTGTAAAAGATGTAATTTCTAGTGTGTCACCCCCCCCCCCCCCCCCCCCCCCCCCCCCCCCCACCCCCCCACCAACCACACATGCTCTCTCTGGTCCGCCCCCCCCCCCCCCCCCCCGCCCCCATCACACACACACCTGAAGCAGCTGAGCTCTGGGGACGACCAGCAGCAGCTCCTCTTCTCCATCCTCCCCGTCTTGTTCTTCTTTCAGAGTCTCCAGCTCCTCCAGCGGTTTGGGAGCGCAGAAGGTGAAGGGTCGACTCCGAGCACAAACCTCTCCCGTCTTGTCCACATAAACAAACTGGAACTCCACGGCACTGGGCCGAGGCAGGTAGGATGCTGTGTCGAGTACAAACAATCTTAATTACAAACAGAGAAAAAAAATTATTTTGATATAAAGAAAAAAAATTCTTGATTATTTGTTCAGTCGAGAAACGATCCATTTCAGCAAATCTGTTAGAGAAGACTCTGCTTAAACCATGATACTACCACCACCATGTTCCACAACTAGATAAGGCCTTTAAACAGGAATACAGAGGTGATTTTAGAAAGAAGTGATGCTTCTCATTTAAACCAAACTAACAAAAAGGTTCTAATCACTTTTTGAATAATTCAACAATTTTTAATCATGTTTCAACAAACTCCAGATTTGTAGCCTGTTTTTTTTTTTCCTGTAAAGCTCAGTGTGTCTCCTTGTAGCCCAGCTGCACAGTTTTGTGACAGTAAAGACTAAGAGGAAAAAAAGTATTTTTAAAATGATAGCAGCTGTGAATTTGCTTCAAGCTGGGAATAACCAGAGTTCAAGCATTACAGACATTTTTTAATCTCATTTGCTCACACCATAACACACTTACCAACATCATCAGGTTTTTTTGTTTTTCCTGGGTTGCACTGGTTTTTCATTTCTAATCAACACACCTGCATCAGAGTCTTCATCAACCTACATTTATCTAGAAGTAAACCTTTCCTTGTCCTTTGGCAGATTTGTGATGTTTGCACCCTTTGTGAGCACTCACATTTCTGATTTCAGATCTTACTGTCATCAAGATCAAGTTCAAGGTTTCTTTACTGTCATTCGCATCATATGTGGTACATGTGGTGGAACGAAATTGTGTACACAGGGTCCCAGTTACATCCAACAAAAGTATAAATCATAGAAGAAAAACAATAATAAGATCTAAGACATGAACTAAGAAATATGCTAAACTAAGAATACGCTAGATGTGAATTAGCATTTGCTACAATCTGGTACAGTGCATCAAATGGTAACATTTATGTTTGAGTTGTGCATCGTCCATTTAAAAAAAAAATGCATTCAAAAACAATACGCTGAACAACAGCAGCACGAACATGAGTCAGTGTGAGCAGATGAGTAGTCATAGTCTGTTCTTTTGATCTGTTTTCTTTGTGTTTATCTTGTCCTTATTTCCCTTCCTGGTCTTTCTATTTGACTCTGTTCCTCGTGTGTGTCTCTTGTGGTGTATCCAGGTTATTACTTCCTCATTACTGTATTTTCCGCCTTATAAGTCACACTTTTTTTGCATAATTTGCATGCCCTGCGACTTATAGGCCGAAGCAAAGTATTTATTAATTTTTTCCCATGTTTCTAAAACAATTTTTGGCTGAGATATGACCGTTTTTCATTCATTCTGTATGAAAAAATATTTAAGCAGTACCAGTTTCAGCCACTTGATGGCAGCATAGTATGTATGGCATGCCGTTGTACCATGTAATAGGTAAACGTGGTTATAATGACAAATTCAAAAAAGTTCAAGACAAAAACAACTGGACTTTATTTATTATACTTTACTTTATACTTTATTGTGTTTTTTTTTTTCTTGAACTTTTTTGCATTTACCATGTCCTGGATGACTGAGAATCTTCACCAGCTTTTAATGATATAATCGGCTTGCCACATTCTTCCCACCTTGGTTCTGCGCGCTGCTTGGACCGACCATCGAACCAGCTGCACCGCCCTGGTGAAATGCAACTAATTTGACGATTAAAGTTTTTTTAAGCAAATGTTAGACTGAGACACACCTTTGCTATAATTTCGAGCAAACAAATAATTGTTTAGGTGCTTTTCTTGTGAAATTTCGAAGAAACGAGCCATGTTCCTCCTCCTTTTTTCCTCCCGGGAGCACAGAGGCAGCAAAACTATTTTTGAAATTCATCTGATTTGACCCTCAAAGTGCATTTATTAAGCAAACAATAGACTGGGACACACATTTACTATAATTTCGAGTAAACAAATAATTGTTTTTAAGTGTTAATCTTGATAAATTCTTGTTAAAGTCCTCCTGTGCACGCTCCTACGGTCGCCATTTGGCAGCCCATTAATTTTTGGCACAACACCGGTCCACATGTCTGGGTTCAGCCCAAATTGTCAGTGGTGACGCATAATAGATGTGACGTATACGGCGAAGCGACATATTTACAGATTTTTCACTTTATTAGACAAATTTTGACTAATGTGACCTATAGGGCAGAGGTGACGTGTATGGCAAAAAATACGGTAAGTTCCTGTTTTCTTCACCTGTTGTTCCTCCCAGATGTTTGTCATTGGTCTCGTCAGGATTGGTGTATTTAAATCTGTGTGTTTCTGTTGTCTGGCATCTGGGCATTCCTCATGAAGACTCCTGGCTCCTGTTTCATGCATCTTGGTTTTTGTTTCCCTTCATGACCTTTTGTTTATTCATGTAAGTTTTTGCTGCCACATCAGCCCTTTTGTTTAGTTTTTCATTAAAAACTTTTTCTTTACTCTTAACCTGAGTTGTCTGGGTCATCCCTGTATTTTTGGGTTCAAACCAATACCAGGTCCTTACACTTACCCTGGAAATTTGCACAGCAGTCGACACTGGTTCCCTCAGCGTAGCCTTCAGGGACAAGAGCCCATGTGTAGGTGTAATACTGTTTGAGGGAAGACCAGCCCATCTGCCGTGAAAACAACATTTGAAACCACATGTGCATCTTCATCACCACACTGGGACACAACATTCATTAGAAGGATGGAGCTAACATGGGTCAATCTACCTCAAAAATCCCAATCCAGTCACTGCTGCTCCACTGGTGATCCGGAGTCAGACTGTAGTGGCACTCCACCCTCGTTTGGGGGAAGTACAGTTGCCCCACGTTTCGAAACACCACCGTGGACTGTTTATCCATTGTAAGGGGAAGCTTTGCTGTTGAAGAAAACACACATGGATCCAGTTGGTTGCTCTCCAGTTTGGTTCTGGGTAAAAACAGCTGATGAAAGGTGATAGCAGAGCCAGCTCGCAACAGCAGCCGCCTCTGGCTCAGCAGTGAACAAAAACAAGACACTCATTAACCTGAATACACAAATACAAATGGGAAAAAGGGTCGATAGAAATTTGACCTTGGCATTGAACGGGTCAAAGATAATACTAATAGTAATGAAAATTATGTCAATAAACTGCATTCAATACAATTTTACCTAAAAGGATTATCTATAAAACAAAAGAATCTAAGAATTATTGAGCATGCATCAGGATAAAAGAATCTAATCATTTTCTTTGAGTAAGAACACAACCTTAAAAATACTTTATTTTAAATAAAGTAACAAAATGTGGTAACTCCTATAATAAAGTTGCCCCAATTTAAATGGTAATAGTCTAAATAATCTGGAAACATTTTTATTGTTTCAAATGGTTCTTCTCCTCACTTCTGTTGTGTAAATCTTACCTTAATCTACCGAGAAATGAACGTTTTCAGCTGCCTGATGGGAGCACCTGCTGTGGATGAGCCTGCAGAAAGTGATGAGCAATCCTGTCAGGTGCAGGAGTTTCACAACATCTCCTGAAGCATGCGGACCCTGAGAAACAACACTGATGCCTGCTGGTGACTCATGGGAGATGGAGTTCATGAACACACAACTTGTCAGCTGGTAAAGTGGCTCTCTAGACTTCAACTCCCAAAAGAAAACCCATGAAGCAGACGGGGGATCTGCTGCTTTTAGTTACTGCATGTTGCAATTGACAGCAGTGGTGGAGGAGGTGGAGGTCAGGACAGGGAGGGGGACGCTATCCTCAAGTTTCTTGGAATAATTTAGGGTTAAAATTAGCAATATATATTTTAAAGTAGTGAATTATTTAACCTATTCTTTGAAAATGTATTATTTGAGAGAAAATCATGACTCATTCTCAGGTTTTAATGTTTGGGACAAAAATCATAAATAAAGTTTTCTGGATCTCAGACTTTCTGATTGTGCAAGAGATTTATCCCCAATTCAAACACTAGGTGGCAGTGTGGCGCACACACAGTTTGTCTTTCCATCTTTATAGGGACTTTGCATTGACTTCCATACATTTTCATTAATTTCTATAGTCTAACCCTGACCTTAAACCTAACCATTACCAGTACATACCTAACCATTACCAGTATATACCTAACCCTAAACATAACCCCCAACCAACCAACAGCACTTCTTCTTATGGGCCCCATAATGAGCAGTTGGTCCTCACAGTGTAGTACGTGTTGGAAAAACGGGCCTTACAACATGACAAAAACAAACACACACACACACAAAAACCATGGGAATTACAGTAATTGATGGTCTTAACCTAGAATTTAAAAATAAACTAAGCAAGTTTAACAACATTTCGGGTTTTTTTTATTAGCTAATTCTTTTTTTTAATTTGTTCTTGCATTTATTGTTAACCTTTTCATATCATATGATTTAACTTTCTTTTTTTTATCTCTGTCATGATGTGCAGGAGGCACTTTTGTTTCCAGGAGTGAGGGTTTATCAACACAAAAATTAAAGTGGTTTGATGTTTGTTTTTTTTCATTTTAGATAATTGAATATTGATCTCCTTGACAATATAAATGCATAAATGAATTAAGAAATATGCCGTTTTAGCATGAATTACTTTCTAAACGTCTGCATAGCTTTACAAAACGTGTGAAAAATGTGACCTTGGAGGAAAACTCAAGTTCCTTCATGTAGTCATGAGAAGATGATGGAGATTTAAAACAAACACAACTTCATTTTCATCGTGTAGATAAAAAAAAAAATAATTGGAAAATATAATTTTGTTTCAAATCCAGTTTTTTACTATAAAATTTTATTTAAACAGGAAAGTTTTTATTCCATCAGCATAACCTTTGTGATACACAAAGCTGGTAAAAAGTCAACAAACAAAATATTCTTACAGTAAAACATGATTAAAAAAAAAAGAATATAATAAAACAGTACATGTATGGGAGGAGTCTTGTGTGACTGACATGAACAGTTGTACTTTTTTACAACACATCTTTGTATCTAGGATTATTTCTGAATTCTAATGCGAGTTGAAAAGCTACAAAACTTCTGTAAAACCAAGAATCAGGAGAGGTAGATAAGATTTCATAAACAGAATTGAACATATTTACTAAAAGCTAAAGCAATCATCAGAAATCATTACAGAAAGCATATTCGCTGTTAAGTTTGAGGGCAATCTTTTTAAACTAGTCAAAAAAAGAAAAACTGCGTATTTTCTGACCCTCACGGCTTGCCATATGCATCAGATGAGACGCACAGAGCCCAGCAGGACACATCCAAACTAACTGAAGGATCATTTACACTTTGTTTCAACAGAGTTCTACATTTTCAGCACCAACTCTGATCAAAAGGTCCCGAGCTTGTATATAAAAAGACTGCAGTAGTGTGGAAATATTTTCAGGTCTGCACGATGTGCTGCAGCTACAGACTCACCTGATTTTTACAGAAGAGTAACACAAACGTATTGACATGTGAGTGTGTGTGGTGCTGTATTCAGTGTGTTTGACACTCTGAGCGTTTGGTATGGATTAGTGTCAGAGGAGGGGCGTTAGCTGGTACTCAGCAGTGAGAGGACTCCAAGTTCTGCCAACTTAGCTTTAGCCACGTCCTCCCAACCCTTATTGGCCTGTGGGTTCCTGGGTGATGGATGCATAACGCCCTCGACTCGCACACCGACGCCTGCAGCGGACAGCGCCCGTCGAGCTCGCTGCTCCGCCACCCTTCCAACGCCGATCACCATGGAGACGTGCAGCGCCCGCACGACTTGGCACAGCGCGGAGTCACACAGGGAGAGCAGGGCTTCTCGCTCGGCTGCAGGCAGCTCAGGGGGAGTCAGATTCTTCCCACTGGCACTCATAAAGATCAGTGGGCACAGATTGTGCACGAAGCAGTGCTGAAAGAACCGTGCCGGCTCGCCACACAGTTTTCTGAAGAAACCCCAAAACCGCGCACCGCTCACTTCACTCTGAGTGCAGCTCAGACCCAAGATCCGTCGTTTTGGGTGCTCGTTATCAGGACGGCCAACCTCACCGGAGATCTTGAGCCAGTCCAAGACGGACCTCACCTCACCGAACGGGACCTGTGCGGGGATCAATCAGCATGTTTGAACTGAAGCAGCAAAACACATCTCAGGACAACAACAATCATAATCATCATCATAATGCAACTTAAAACAACATTTTGTTCTTTGTAAAATGTTTTTAGGTTCTATAAAATGTTTATTTTTTATTTTTATTAAAACATGTTAGTCTTGCCATATTAAAGTTTATATTTCAATAAGTTTATATTTTCACTTTACCAGGCACTTTTAAATTAAAAAGCACAGTGTCAAAATGGTGTAGAGCCCTTATTTGATTGACACCACATCTGAACAACTGGGTCAATCTATGATCCCGCCAGAGCCAGTAATATCGACCGAGCGCCACGCAGCCTGACTGGCGGGACACACACGCTCTACAGCTTATAGAATTGACCAATCAGCTCTGACGCCTGTTCTGATGCTACAGACATATAGCCAATCAAACTCCTGTTATGTTGATATGTACTGTGCTATTCACAGAGGGCTGAGTGGTACTAGAAATAACAGCATTCAAGGATGTGAACATCTTCATCCCTGAACGAGTGATCGCTGCCCTCGAGATGAGTGTAGACCGCAGAGTCTTGGCCTGATGATGTTGATCTTCTGTGCTGGTCCATCCTTTTGTCCAGTGGCTGTTTAGTTCCCTCGATGTAAGAATGATCACAGCCCTCCTGACACGGAACAGCTTACACAATATTACTGTTTGTTTCGGGGGACTGGATCTTTGGGATGGACCAGTCTTTGCCGTAATGTATTTTGGGGTTTAAATGCCAAACTCCCGCAACATACGGAATGACCGACCTCTGGTCTGGGTTCCTCCTTTTCACCTGATGGCTGGAGTCCTGGTTGGGTTTCTTCTCTGCTCTCAGGAAGGTCCAGATAGGATATCCACATTGCTCCAGGGCCTGTCTTGTGTAAGATTTCTCCTTCTGCCCAGCTCCTGAGTTAGTGGGGACCGCTCTGTGGTCCTGAGTTACAATGCTGTTATTACTAGTCTCATTCAGCCTCCTGTGAATAGCAAGCGGCCATCAGAGCACTAACGACCAATTGTTGAGCTGATGGTCCTCCTTTATCATGTGAGCAGCTAGTTATGGATGTCAACAACAAACTGGTTGATCCACTATGAGAAGGTGCTACTTATAAGACTTGAGTTTGTTGCAGCTCCTCAGACTGAGAAGTATTTTGGATAAAAGACAATCGTTTCAACAAGAATCCGTCAAGAGGACCTGACTTTACTAATAAGATTTTTCTGGATTATTGAGCACACATCAGGACACTATGATTTTTGTTTTTCAGCTACATACTATTTACAGTTTAAGTAACTGAGTGTTAACTATAGAGACACCAAGCTTTTGAATTTTCTCCAAAGGGTTCAAGAACAGCATTTAATTTGATATGGGTATGTTTTATTCAGGCGTGTTCTTGTTTGGCGACACAACAGGTTAAAACAGACTCATTGCATCCGTCCATGCGGTGCTCACCCCGGTCTGCGCCATGCCGAAAGGGCCGGGATTCATCCCCAGAAACAAGACGCTTTGTCCGGGCTGACAGTACGTCTCCACGTAGCAGCGGTGGGTGTCCCAGGCGTACTCCAGCGGGTTGTAAACGTACCGGACCGGTTCGGTGAAGGAGAGCCGGCGGAGATGGGCGTTCAGCTCCAGCTCAGCCTGCAGGAACAGGGCGGAAGTCCCGTTTACAGGCTGAACGAGCCCTCCTTTCTCCTCCTTCGATTCATAAAGATCCGGACCCGTTTCTTTTCCTGTATCATTAAACATGTTTTTAAGGAGCGTGTATTAAATAAGTTAGTGCTTTACGAACTAACATGTAGCACTGAGCTACATTTTTGATAACAAAACATCCGGCCACTGGGATCTAGTTTCTTGTTTTTACTTCCTGTGTCTCTTCTTCTTCGGTTTTATATGGTTTGCAAACAAGTTGGAGCACTACCGCCACCACCTGGTAAGGAGTGCGAACTGAAACGACGCTCATAAATAAATCTAACGAAGTTAACAGGTCCTCTAGACAGATTTACAAAAAGGAATAAAAATTTAAAAAATATAATTAAAAACTTGTTGAAACATTTCGTCTTTTATCCAAAAGACTTTGTCAGTCTGAAGAGCTGCAATAAATTCTGACATAGTGCACACCTGGGCACACCTGCGGCCCTTTGGTTGACTGGCCCCTGTAAGGGGAATTACAAAATAAACATATTTTCTAATTTTACCTCATGAGTGGACTAAAGGTGCATTCTTTAATTTTGAAAGTTTCTTTATTCATGTCATAGTGGGTCAACCAGTTTGTTGTTGGCATCCAGAACTAGCACGATGGCGGACCATTAGTCTGTTCCTTGCATGAGTATGGGCACAAATTCCGGTCATAAACATTTTGTGCTTGTGAATTAGTTTTGTAGCCTTGTAAAATTAATTTCACATGTAGATTTACAATTAGTTTTTGGCTTCGTATCTGTAAACAGACCTTCGCCAAAATCAAACAAACAAACAAAAAACAGTAACTTGTGTAATTATTTTTTTATTCAATTCAATTCAGTTTATTTATATAGCCCCAAGTCACAACAGAAGTCGTTTCAAGGCACTGAACAGAAACGTTCATATATAAAAATAATAAGTTAACTCTATTTATCTCAGAAGCAGACTGCTTTAAGTTTAACTCCAAGAACTCTCATCTTGAGCAAGCATGAAGGCGACAGTGGAAAGGAAAAACTCCCTCATTAAAAATACTTTTTTCTTTTACACAAACAACTTCCTACCTATGCTGCACAAAGCACAATTTTATTCTACGAGGTTACAAACTGATTTATTAGCACAAAATATTTAGTAGTACCCAAACTTGATGCCTCTGTGGGCATAAACCCAGAGGCAGTCATAAAAAGTTGTTTGTTAAAACGAGTATAAAAACATCAACGTTCATGTTCAGTAATCCAGGTAAAAATCCAACAATGTTCTGTCAGGTCATCTGGATGGTTTCTTTTTCTTTGCTGAGACGTTTCATTTTTGATCCTAAGGACTTCTTCAATCCGAGGAGTCACCAACAAACTGAATCCCACAAACAGCACACTCCCATAGTGGGAAAAAAAAACAGTTTACTGGTGCTAAGATGGCCTCTGGGGCCCGCCCTCTCCCCCATCAACTCCTCTGAGGCAGTCATGCCAAACTGGTTCAAAACACCAAAGTTCATGCTCAATAATCCAGGAGTATAAAAATAATTACTGAACCTGGCATGACTTTTTGAACTGCAGTCAGCGACTCAATGATTATGAAGTTCTCTGGTAAAAATGTGAGTACAGAGATAAAAAACATAAAGCTTGAAACGGTATGGGAGAGTTTACCTTTATATAACTTTGCTCAGTTTGCTGTATTCAAAAAGGTGACATTTTAACAATTATATCATTCATTCAACCTTTATTTAAACAGGTTAGTCCTACATATCACAGCTGCACAGTCCAAAATAACACTAGATTGCCAGTATTTTTGCCAGATTGCCAAATTTTGCTTAAAAGTGTTCTTTGTTGAACTGTTCGGTCTGACAAAAGACTGAGATAAAAAATATTTTTTTCCAAGCTCTCTTCTCATCTTGCTGCTGATCTGTTTCAATGTTGATGTGTTCATGCGTGCACATCTGCTCACAGACTCATGTTCATGTTTGTGCTGATGTTCAATGTTTTATGTTATGAGTGCTTAGTGTATATTTAGTGGATGTTTTTCTTAGTTCATATCTTAGATGTTATTACTGTTTTTCTTAGACATTTTATTGTTGGATGTAACTGGGACCCCGTGTACATAATTTCGCTCCACCACATGTACCACATGAGGTGCGAATGACAATAAAGAAACTCTGACTCTGACTCGTCTTGTCTCCATCGAGCACTTTTGTTGTTTGAACAGCGCCACAAGATTTTAGTGGTCAGAAATATACTGCACCCGAAGTGGTTTAGTACGGTGGTCGATGTTTAGTGGTTTATTTAAGCCACCGTACACAACAGACGTTATTTCAGGGCACTGAACAAATACATTAATATACATAAAATTAAATAAGTAACGTTATTTATCCAAGGTAGACTAGGGTAAGGTACCACTATGGACGATGAATGCGATTTGTTACAGAGACGTTAAAGAAAACTCTCTTACCTGTATTTGTGTTTCCATTTACCCACAGGATTCTAGTTTGACAATCTCTAGAAGTCTCGCGCACCTGATGAAACAGAAAGGTACTGTAAAAAAATATATATATATAAAAAAAATTATTCTCCCCGTCGGGGAATTGAACCCCGGTCTCCCGCGTGACAGGCGGGGATACTCACCACTATACTAACGAGGAGTTGATAACTGGCCCCGAAACAATTCTATAAATAGATAACCAAATTCGAGATTTTCAATTGTGTTTTCAATTCAAAAGTACTTTATTAATCCCAGAGGGAAATTATTTGTTGTAGTAACTCGTTATCCTCATTTCATTAAGAGATGTTATAGATGCTGATGGCTGTAGGCAAGAAGGATCTCTAAAGGTTCATCCCACAGTGGATCCTAAGAAACTGGCTGCAGATGCCGTCTGATCCATCCACCCAAACTCTGCTGGCCTCTCGGTTCCCCCGGGCTGTAGGACCACCCGAATGCCGGGCAGAACTCCTCCCAGAGCGATAGCCACTCCTCCCAGCAGTCTGCCGAGCTCCTCGTCACTGCGGACAGCCGGCTGTAGGTGCCGAGGGATGATCCTGTCCTTCCACTGTCATGAGCCGTGTTTCCTGCTAGTTCCAGGATCTCAGTGGTCAGACACTTGAGCACAACTGGCAGGTAGATGAGAATACGTCCACACAGAACATCCTTTTCAACTCATTTGAGATTTGGGGCTGTAGTTGAGATATTATTTGAGCTTTTGAGATGTTAATCAGCTGCTGTTGGTAGTAGAAAAATGCCTTGTTGCCATGGTTACGCATCATAACAAATGTCCAAAACTAAAAAAAGTTTCAATAAAAAAACCTTCCAGCTGCACAGCATCTGATACCAGAGAAAACCACCATCCAAAAAACACGACCCACATCCAGAAAAAGAGGAATCACAGTTTCCAAAAGCAAAATCTCAGAATGAAAATAACAGAGCTGCTCCAACATGCAGCCACATTGAGCAGCGCCATTCTAAATCAGAATGAGAATGTTTTTTTGTTTTTTTTTGAGAATGTTTTAGAGCAGCACAAATGAAATTGAAAAACACTGATGTCTTTTTGGTCACAATTATCATTATTTTGTGTCCAAACGGGTAGTCCCGCGCTGGCATCGAGATTTTTTTTTAGCTAAACCACCCTAAACCGTTTCCCATTCATTTTAACAATATGGCAGTTCACAACAGTGCAACTCTAAACCCGATCAACAGAGGATGCCATCTCCTCTGTGGTCCACACTGCTCTCAACCACCTGGTGCAGAAAAACTCTTACGTCTGTCTGCTCTTTGTGGACTTCACATCTGCCTTCAACACCATGATCCCCCAAACCCTGATGGACAAACTGTTCACACTGGGACTAAGCCCCTCCATTTGAATTGGGTACTAGACTTCTTAACAAACAGACCACAGTTAGGGAGGATCCACAACTTCTCCTCCTCCACCATAACCCTCAGCACTGGCTCTCCTCAGGGATGTGTGTTGAGCCCCATCCTGTTTACTCTGCTCATGTATGACTGTGCAGCTACCCATCCAGGCTGACACATTGTAAAGTTTGCAGATGATACAGCGGTGGTGGGATGCATCAAAAACAACGATGAGTCCAGCTACAGGCAGGAGGTGGAACACCTAGAGAGCTGGTGCAAAAAAGAATAACCTTCACATCAATGTGAAGAAGACAAAGGATGATTGTAGACTTAAGAAGGAACAAACACACCTACACCTCCTGAACATAAGAAGATCTGCAATGGAAGTGGTCTCCAGCTACAAGTACTTGGGCGTACACATGAATGACAACCTCAGCTGGAGCAACAACACCTCCAGCCTGATCAAGAAAGCTCATCAGAGACTCTTCTTCCTCAGGCGGCTGAGACGAGCTGGTCTGGGAAGCTCAGTCCTCACCTCCTTCTACAGGTGTGCAGTGGAGAGCATCCTGTGCTCCAGCATCAATGTGTGGCATGGAGGCTGCACAGCTGCAGGAAGAAAAGCTTTGCAGAGAGTGGAGAAGGCTGCACAGCCGCAGAAAGAATTGCTTTGCAGAGAGTGGTGAAGGCTGCACAGCCGCAGAAAGAAAAACTTTGCAGAGAGTGGTGAAGGCTGCACAGAAGACTGTTGGAGTCAGTCTCCCCACCATCATAGACATCTACACCTCCAGATGCAGGAAGAGGGCCACCTGCATCATGAAGGACCTCATGTTTATAGTGGAAATCTGTAATTCATTCCAATTTTTGTAAAATAGGTGCCTAAAGACAGTTTGATATGACAAGTTTTGTCTTTGTAGTGTTTTTTTTTTTTTTTGTACAGCTGTAACCACACTTGTAGATGCATTTCTGACATGCTGTTTCTTTTGCCCATACTGTTTTGCACATTTGCTCCATTATCCCAATACAACATTTAATTTACCTGAGGAATTTCTGCCGGGACTCGAACCCACATCCTGATGGCATGTCCCATTTTGCAAGGTGTCACACCTGCTGTGAAACATGACAGTTCTCGATATGCAGCATAATAACACAAGTAAAGCCACTGAAAGTTAAATTAGAAGACAATGACTTGTTCATAAGACGATGATGCTAAAACAAATCAAGACAGTAACTTACTGTAC